TTCAATTTGCCTAATCCTTTGATTTATTATATCAGCAAATTGACAACGTTTCAGTCTCAGCTATATGTGTTTAAACCTGATTTAGAAATGTAAGCTTTCTCAATCACTGCTAAATCTGCTATCTGCTAAATGTTATCCAAACATCAGTGTGTTAGCATTATCTCTGTGAGCATGTCAACATACAACCATTAGCATTTAGCTAAGTCCAGCGTCACAGAGCTGTTAGCATGGCTGCATAGTCTGTCTTGTTAGTTCTTAAACACCACAGTATGTCACACTTAAAAAACCTGATGTCAAATGATCAACAGTCATCCAAAATAAATGGTAGGTTGTTTTTAATTATGTTTAAACAGTGTGTCATCTTGATGGTTTACCATTGAAAAAATATGCAACTGTGCCAAAAATCATGCCTTTAAAATCGATCATGTCAATACCCAAAAGATGGTTTGGTCTATTAGTAATTCACTCCTAGGGAATTGTGTTTATTACAATACATGTGACCATTACTCTCATCCAACTTTGACTGAAATAGCTTTGACTGTAAATCTATGATTCTTAACTCCACTAAAGGTAATTTTAGTATCTAGTCAGCAAGCCAAATGAGTCTGACACTGATTTTGAACAGACATGTATGAAATAAATAGGGGTGGACTGAGCCATGATGATGCAGTGCTGCCTGTGAGCGTTGCTATAGTCACCATGTGTAAACAGTGAGGTCTTGGATGGACTCAAGGGGCTTTAATGGTCATTGAGTAAAGTCAGACGAGTTCCCTGAAGACCGTGTAGGTGTCTGTGGCCCTCTCGGAATATGTCATGACCCAATGATGGGTAACCCAGACTGTGAGGATCAGATGACAGGGGTCAGGCTGGGTCCGTCTCTCTCAGTGTCACCGTCTGAATCAACATTTACAGTAGGTATACTGCAAGAGAAAAGTCAAAAAAAAAAGAAACCAAGGCCAGAGGTGTTATACATACATACAAATACATCAAACCCTTTATGGCATAGGTATTCAACACGTGTCCATGACCCCCAGGTTTCCTCGAAGTTTCTGCAGGTTTGATTATATTTGAAACATTTTTCAAACATTTAAATATGTTTAGAAATACACATTATAGTAACATGATCTTAAAAAAAATCCCAAACCCATTTAATTTACACAACATTGATGTTAATCTAACTGTTACCCATGAAGCTAACCTTCACTGAATCAATATGCTGTGCTTATCCATAATGGCGAACGAGTAAGCTACGACTACCTGTTATTTTATAGCTGCTTTATGGTATATGAGTCGACTGTAGAGTATAGAATTACAGATCATGACCTCTCTCCCATGACAGCGGCGCTCTGTTTTCTTTAATTATCATAACAGACCACCAACAGAGTGTCAGAGAGAGGGAACCTCATCTCTTCTCCTCTGCTCTGATTTACAGTCCACTCTGTGAACCAAGGCCACTGCCTGACAACCTTAATGTTGTTTGGTGTATATACACATCCCGTAAAAGCTGGATATTGTTGAACAAGTTGTTACAGTTGAACCTTAAAAACCCCAACCCTGATCCTGGGTGAAGGCCAAACATCAGCGTACATGACAGACAGGTGCTGTGTGTGTGTGTGTGTGTGTGTGTGTGTGTGTGTGTGTGTGTGGTGTGTGTGTGTGTGTGTGTGTGTGTGTGTGTGTGTGTGTGTGTGTGTGTGTGTGTGTGTGTGTGTTTGTGTGTGGAATAAGTTTGAGATCACAGGCCTGTTCACTGAGAAATAGATAACGTGCTGCTAAATAAAGCTCACTAATGAATACAGACCACACACACACACACACACACACACACACACACACACACACACACACACACACACACACACACGTGTCAGCAGAGAGTGTTTAGGGGAAAGAAGCATTTTATTTTCTGACAGGGTGATGGCGATGGATCAAGTAGGGGAGATAGGAGCTGGCAAACAATTTTGTTGCGCTACATGTGCTGTTTGTATCCATAGCAACTGCACCGTTAGCCATGTCCCCTGATTGCCAGATAGAGAGACGTTGTCCTTGACAATATTGGAAAACTTAAATGGATTTAGGAGTGGAGTATCTCAATTTATGGCTTTACTGCTGAAACAGAAGAAGGTATTCCGTCTGTGGCGTCATAAAAACTGCGAGATTAGAAGCTTAGATACAGTAGTTTGGTTTGGATAAACCAAACTATGAACACGTGGCAGTTCAAACAAATTCAAACAAATAATAATATTAAGAATATAGATAATAACCCTTAACGCAACTTATTATTGCACCTTCATAAGATTAGGGGTCAAAATCAAAGCAGCACAGGTCAGGATAACTTCCCTTTTAGACATCAGTGTCGGCTATGCTCTAAAGACATACCATAAAGTAAATCACTAGCATTGTATGTTAATGCCTACCTGTCTTGTTAATACCATCTCTCATGTGTGGAATGTAACTAAGCACATTTACTTGAGTACTATCCTACAATGTTGAGGTATTTCTACTTAAGTGTATTATCATTGTATGCAAATATATACTGTTGGCCTACATCAGATTTTCTCAGATATATTACATTTATTTTACAGGTTTAGCTCAAGTTAATTTGATACATTACGTTTTTAAATAATAATAAGAAATACATTTACAAAATATGATGCATTGCTATAGTGTAATTAAATCAATAGTATGAATTAAAATGAACTCCTTCTGCAGCAGCTGCAACATTATGCACATTATGCTATTTTTAGCTTTACTTTATATGCATAAAACATTTGAGTTTGGCATGAATACATGTTTGGCGTGTATTTATTACATTACATTACATTACATGTTACTTGTTAGACGCTTTTATCCAAAGCGACTTACATACTCAATACTGTGAGCAATCCCCACAGGAGCAATTTGGGGTGAAGTGTCTTGCCCAGGGACACAACGACATGCTGACTGCAATGGGGTTTGAACCTGTGCTCCCCTGATCCAAACACCAACGCACTATGCCACTGCGCCACACGCACCCCCCCCCCCTATACCATAGATAGACTGTATACACGCATGCCGGAGTCTTTATGCTGAAATGTATTTTTTCTCTGTGTTCTGAACCTGTAAATAATTGAGCCATTCTTTAGGCTTATTCTTCTGTCTGGCCAGCAAACCACATGCTGGTCACTTGACCCAAAGGTTAGTATTTCAGAAGCTGCTCAGATGATGCTGTGTCTGGGAAAAATCACTACAACAAGCAAGTAGATATCCTGATGCTAAAAATACATGTGACTGACTCTATTTCTGAGGCCTGACTGTAATATCATATTACATGGCACATCGATTGTGGCTGAGGATGATGTGCATGCTCAGGTATTCTCAGTCTCAATAAAGCTTCCTGATGCTATTTTGGAAGGATTATTTGAGAATAGGTGTTAAATATACTTCACACACACCCACTTTAATTCTTTATTCATTAACCTGGAACTGCATTTTTCCACAACCATCAGCAATTATATGAAATGCAACCAGACGGGGTAATGCAACCTCTTGATTCAAACAAAACGTACACAGTGTCATGGAGGGCAGACAAAGGCAAGGTCAAGTGTAACTGATAGCAAAATAAATGCTGTCTCTTTGGATGTCAGATATGTGTTTCTGCTTTAGTCAGCCCTTCTCAATTAAATACAACCACATGAAGCCATTTACATGTTTTCAAAAAGATGTACAGGCGTGGTTTATGTGTACTTAAATGAAATCCCTTTGTCTCACTGCATGTGATACAACAGACAGGTGCTGCCACCTACAGGAACATCGATGATTCCATTGTGCATCAGGTTCAGAGTGATTAGTATGTTTCTTTCAATCACAATTCAAACCACAGACCTTGCTCTTTGTATATCTGAAGAATTAAATACACCATTTCAGTTAATAATTGTGTGATAAACTTAATTCAAGTACAATACACACCCAATATAAGTCTTGAGTCTTAACTCACCTCGCCATCTGCTGGACAAATACTATAGCCACACTCTGAAGCCTCAGACTTTAAGATTTGTTTTATTTTAAAGAAGTTTAAATCATACTCCATGTTGTCGATTATAAAACTGGATGACAAACATCTCTCAGATAATATGCTTCCTGTAGTTCCAGCATTAAAAAAAACCAATCTTTATTTAAAGAGTTTCTTTAGAATAAATGCAATCCTCTTAGCATATTCATTTAAAGAAGATTGTGTTTTATTACTCTATGTATGTGTCTCTGGGAGAACAGAGGCGCGTTTCTTCTACCTTCTTTAAGATGGTCTTTGTCAGATGGAAGGTTAAAAGTACATGATAATGAATGTATCTATTCCAGTTCACTATTGGGTTGGTTTAATTATAGGACATTTGTTCTTTTTTAAATAACCAAGACAGAAACACATGTATAGTGCCAAACGGATGTAATGGCTCCCTCAAGATTGAAGCTCTATACCATAGGTATTTGCTACATGATTACTGGCTAATATTTAACACTTTACCTTGCTGAATTTAAAGGGCCAAATATAACTGGCTCAATGGACACAGTTGGTAAATAATTGACTGTGATCACAACCTGTGTTCCTTCTCTAATTCCTCCAGGCTACAGTCTGGTTATTAATTACCTTAGCACCAGCACTGCTGCCTCTGATCAGTGAGAGGGAGTTTAAACATTTGCTTGAATGTCTCCTCTGTCCAAAAACCTGTTTTAGATAGAAGGTACAAGGTTCAGTTAGAGCGCTCTAAACAAGAAAGATGAACTATGCTCTTTGGTGAGAAGGAAAACTATCAACCGTATTTAATGAATGCAAATGTCTGCTTGAACTTTGCCTACAACCCCCGCATTAAGCCATGTCTTATAAAACATCAAAAACACAACCGTTTATGTTTGGAAGCAGAAGCAAAATAGCCCAAATGATCAAATGCAGGAAGATTCTTAATATTGTGTCAAGTCTAATAATCTGGCTTTAAATGTGATGAAAAATAGCTGTTAAACAAAGTCACTTTGAAATGTTATTATTTAATTCAGCAAACATCACAAATGAATGCATTACAAAAATATTCAAACCACCCATAAATTAATGGTCTTTCACACAAACACATAACAATCATAACTGAGGTGTCATTCCCCATATGTGCGTTTTGTTGTAGGTTTATCCCTGCCATACCTCTGCATTAGTGTAATCCAAGCCCATCTAAATAAGGAACAGCATTACACAAAGCTGCCATAACTCCTCAGTGAGACACCAGGGCTTCTGTCACACATTTACAGTTCATACTAGACTCTACATGCGTTTCTCTGAAAACAGGGCAGCTTCAGAGATGAGCTGCTGACAGTGTGCATCACCTCCTGCATAGAAGAAACGTCAGACCAGACAATGTAACACTTCAAGCGGTTCAATACAGTGTAACATCTCAGAGTTTGATTGAAATATTGAATTCATTGGCTTCCTGTTTAGAGCTGCGTGAATGGGAAACTAGAGTGAACACTGCTTTTTGTCAAATCTGAAGAGCCCGCTAAAAATAATAAATCCTCCTGCTGTGGGGTGTAACCCAGTCTGTTAAGCTTTAAAAAGGACCTGAGACTCTCATGCTCGATGTCATGGTCAACAGAGCAAATGCTGCGTTTATCCAATCCCACCTCCAGTTAAGATTGTTGGACTGAGGGATCTATGTCCACAAGGACGGGGAATCCATCAGCAGTAGGCTGGATCAACGCAGGGATCAGTTAAGAGGCCAGGGCTATGAATCTGCAGGTGGCTGTGAATCTGCAGGTAGCAGAGAGATGCAATAGCAGTCTGCGAACAGAAACACACGGCACGGGTATACAGACTAACTAGTTACATAATAGCACCCAACAAAGCTCATCTTGCTGTGGAGGTAGTACACATCCAACCTGTGAATCTTCATTAACATACTGTCTAGCTTATAGTAATTTCATCTTTGTCAATAACAAACTTGCAGAGTTTTAGAAAAGTTAATATATTATTAGATTTCTACTTAACATCCCTTTAACTTTCCTTTAACTTTCCTTACATCATTCAAAAACAGATTCCTCCCTCTGCCATTGAAAAGTCTGCATCTCAATGTGCTGGCAGTGATCAGAATTACTTTTCTGTACAAGTAATGCAGAAATCTTCAGGTCAAGCTACCATGAGGTAAAAAAGTACAATCACATTAATGCATTCATTGTTGTCTAAAACAGCCTTTGTTGTCTACCACTTTGGACGGGTTAATTGGAGGAACGCACAGTCCTGCCTTTGAGAAGCTGGGGAGGCCTGAAGTTGTTTTCCATGCGTGTCCTCTCATCCTCTTCCTCTCCAGTGAACACAAGCGTTCGAAACTTGCCCAGCTGCATCGGCAGAGAAAGATAGATATAGTTAATATGTTTGCAAGGAAATCAATTGGTTTAACAAGTTCTGTACACAACGTTTGATCAACACTAGACAATGTAAAAACTAGGCAAATAAGATCGGTGATGTTCTTTATGTTATTGCAACAAATTCAACAATAGATGTATCCCTCCCTGAATACTTTGTTACCCTTATTGTGCTGCTTGTGCACTGATGTATTTGATCGTTTCTGAAAAACATGGAGCTCTATGACAGAAATGTAAGAAGCTACGTTAAGATCTGGCTACAGGCGATGCTTTTAGTAAGATTTAGTAGTAAATCAAATGTTGTTGTATTATTTTTGTTCCTTTTGTTTACAAGGAATATATTGTATAATACTAGCTAATTTCACTTCCAAAATGTGAATCTACCTTCACTTTACTGTAATTTTCTTGTTATTTCCCCATTAGCGCCATGTCCATAATAACCGGGTAATGAAAAACAAAACCCTGTTATAAAAAGGGCTTTTCCCTGCTGGGTCTGCTTGCAAGCATTTCTCAATTAAAGCCCAGAACACATCCAGTCATCCATCCATCATGATAATCAGCTGGAGGGGATCAAAGGCTTGAGGCCTGCAGACGCAGGCTGTGAGGTTAGTTGCCTAGCTTACTTCTCACCCCCAGCCATGCGACACACATTGGTTTATAGACAAATCGCTCATGCCTACACCTGTGGTGCCACTGCCATTAAACTCCTGATTACTTGTGTTTAGTCCTGGAGTTAAAAAAAATTGGAACCGGACTAGAAAAGATCAGTGTGTAAGCATAATCCAGAGGCTGGCAGCAGTCGCCACATGGGGACCTGGAGGGCATGTGCTGCAGGCATCCTGTTAGTCAGCTTAACTTGTCAAACCTGGGGTTACCAGACCTACATTTTCTGATTCCACTCAGTGCCAAGAGGGGTGGATAAAAACAAGTTAACCCCAAACACGGCATCCCCATGAATGATGCTCACTAATGTTGTTGCCTCTAAACATAGCATCGTACGTGGGCCAAACATTACATTTTTTAGATGATGTAAACCCTACCACCACATCCCCCCATCATTACTCACACCTAACATACTGATCCAGTGATGCTTAACTGTGATGGGACTACAATGGAGGCAGTGGATACTTAAAGTCTAGTAGAGCATGGTCTAACATCATGCAGGCCAGGAAACATGGATGTCACAACTGACTGATCAACTGAAACATCAATAGCTTGAGCTTCACTGAATTACAAAAAAAATACAATATCTGGGTATACATATGTGAAGCTGTCAGACTTCCAAATCTAAAAACATTAATTCAACCCTTTTATTAATATGTTAGTATACTCACCCTTTAAATGATTTCTGATTCTGACACAGATAGTAAATACTACTTGTGTGCAGATCATTTGCTCAAACAGATGACTGAAAGCAATCAGAAATATTGTACAGTTGAACATAACCTTTGAGGCAGTGATGGTGGTAGATCGAGTTGTACTAAACAAAAACATAGATCTAGTGCCCAAGGTGTTTCCAACTACAGGATTTGGATTATTGCTGTGCTTCATTATGTTGGAGAATAAATACTCAACAGTGTTCTAGGTGTTGGAAGCTTGTCATGTATTGTGGTCAAAGGAACATTTCTGCGACCCACACCCACCTGCTTTTCAGATACTATCATGGGCTCTTTGACCACAATCCAGATGACGCTCTCGTGCAGGGGGGGGGTGGTCAGGGATCCCAGGTAGGTCCAGTAGTGGAGGCTGCTGGGCAGGAGGCACTTGGGGTTGAAACCTTTGAAATCTGTAACACTGCCCTGAAACAGGAATATGAAAAGACAACAGATTTATATTACTGCAGTAATGCTGACAGCAGCATTAACCACATGAATATTACAGGTAATAAAACCTAGCTGCAATCTACTGACCTTAAACTTCACCGTGTACAGAGCGTCTGTTATCATGTGAAGCCATCTGTGTTCGTCACCTGTCTTGCGTAACAGAGAAGATTGCAGTTGGATTTTGATTTTTGAATATAAATATCTTTAGATCTCTTAACTATAGCAAATGTTAATTTCAAAGCCGACAAACACTTAAATTCACATAAAATGTGATTGCAATCAAGAGGAATATCTTACTTCTAAAAAGATGCCCAGGACAGCGAGGCCATCAGAAGTTGATGCTGCCTCTCCAAACGTCTTGAACTTGACTGCATTCCAGTGCACTAAATGAAGCTGGAGTGGGGAAACAGGAAGAAAGAAAGACACAAAAAAACATTAACCAGCCTTTATTGTGAAAAAAAAACCTAAATCAAGTCGCATGGTATTTCTTAGCATGAAAAGCTGTATTTATATTTTATTTTCTAACATAAGATGTTACCAAATAAACCTAATGACACACCTTTGCTAATCCTGTCTTTGTGTGTGTTGCTAATTACACACCGACACTCTGAAGTATCCTGACACTGACCTCAGAAGCATAACTGTTTCCTTCAACAGTGTGCTCAGAGCCATGGCAGCCCTTTCCACCCCAGTGGAAGTGAAACTGTTTCAGCCTGTAGGGGTTGTCAAGAGGGCCTCCCTGGATGACTGTAGAAGATGACATGTAAACAAAAATAACAATGAAAACACACACAATCCTTCTATCCATGGGTTTTAGAAAGATTAAGATAGACTTTTATTAATCCCTCGTGGGGAAATTGTTTCTCTGCATTTGACCCATCCTAGTGTTAGGAACAGTGTGCTGCCATTTTGAACGGCGCCCGGGGAGCAGTGTGGGGAACGGTGCCTTGCTCAGGGACACCTCGGTAGCACTTGGTCTTGCCGGGACTTGAACTGGTGACCTTCCAGTTGCCAAGCCAAGTCCCTATCGACTTCGCCACCACCGCCCCATAGAAAGAGTATTCTGTGAGCAGCATCATCCAAACAGCTTGGTACAACTGCAGGAAGAGTTAACCCGGCAAAACCTACAGTAATTTATTCAATTTCTAACTCAAGGCTGAGACATGACATGAGCACCGTCAACAGAGAGTCCGCCTGCTTTACAAACAAATCCATCATTAGAGCTCAGTGGCACAAGCTTCAGTTGGAGACACAAATAGAGGGTGCTATTCTAAATAAAGAAACATTACATCTACTTTTAGCTTGGTTGAGCTATTCATTGTGGACCATGGATGAATAGATGTATGTCTTAGTGATATTTAGCACATTAGAAGGATAGTGAAGACTATGTTAGAACCTATGGCTTGCACTGCTGGGTTTGAAGTACAGCAGTGTAGTCTGACTGTTATTCATTGTGATGCTGCTGACATCCTTCTGACAAACAGGCCACACCAGTGCAGGTCAGATTAGTGAGGCATGAACTGGCACAAAGAGCAAAACACTTATCTGGCACATCTTACAGTATAGATGTAGGATAACCAAAATAACTCTGATCTGCTATAAGGCAATGTGCTTACCAAACAAATGTGATGGTAATGGGTCTGAAGAATCCTTATCTAGAATATGAGGCGATCAGTAGATTGTCGCATTAAAATAAATTATGTTCAGGTCGTTACAGATGGAAGTAATGTTGTAAGCCCTAAACTTGGTAATACGTACATTTATAATACATGAGGGAAGAAAGTCATTTATTATAATTACATTATTCAGAGCCATGTTTTTTAGATCATAATATGATATGTTGTTAAACTTTTTAATAACTTCATTGTGCATTGGGCACCACTAATCTATATAATTAAAATGTTCTTGTGACACAATACAAGTCGTGTGTGAATGTATGCATGTGTACAGCCAGACCAAGCCACACATGGCAAACTGACAACAGCAGGTTTAAGGGATTTGTGCACTTTGTTCAAACTGTGGAGAAGTGCTGAGGAAGTGCATTAGTTTTCCTCTCCTCTTACATTAATGACTTTCGATGATAGCTTCTTGCTTGCTCTGTGGAAACCGTCTGAGCCATACAGCCCTGCGTCTCTGAGCTTATCATTCATGCTAATGACAGGGTGGTTAACATGGATCCACCCAGTGATAAAAGCCAATCGGGTCATAATAACCACTGAGATCACCTGATGTTATTACATCTCTTGTCCAGCAGACAGAAGCTCATACAGTTAACTGCTGCCTGCATATCCCTGCAGCATAATCAGGGGTTTATTTCTAACCCTTGATTATGGTCAGTTATTCACATGGTTTGCACTTTTTCTTAAAATGAAGGCAATCCCTCCTTTTAAACTTGTGTTTATTGAGGGTCAACTTTTAGCACATATTTCCTTTGTAGGTGGCAGAAAACAGAGATCAGATAAAACCTGAACTGTGATCTCTGTCAATAATTGCAACGCAATCATTAAATGTTTTCAAAAAGGCAAGAAATATAAATGCACCTTTCTGCTTGTGTTCTTTTCCCCCACATCTAAACCAAGATTCCACACATTTTAACACTGCTTTCTTTAATTAAAAAAAAGATTCAGGGTTAAATGATATGTAAACTTATAAAATAATACCAAATTATTTCACCTGAACGGTCATCCGAGTCCTCAAACTCTACCACAACAGAGTGTCCATTGTTGGCAATATTGATGGAGGTGCAACGATCGTAGTTCAGGACAATGGGACCCAGGTTGGGGTCATGTCGAGCTTGATGAGGGAGGATGTCTATGGGAGACTGCCGGTCCCCATCAGCAACGGGGTAGTTTGTGTTCCATGCAGAAGGTCCTTGATATAAAAGAAGATAATTAGAAATCAACAGAACATACTTCAATTACACCATCAGTTTTCATTTCTAGGATGATGACCATATGAAGGCTACTTTAACAATAAACCGTTTTCACTGGGTCTATACAAAAAAAGAGGATGGAATTATTTCTAAAGCATAGTAATAATATAAATCTGCAGTTCTAATTATACACAGCTCATTGAATTTAAGTTAAACCAATAATTGAACAAGGTATGTCTACAAACAACAACTAATAGGTGGGGATTTGCATAAAATAAAGACCAAAGTATTCAAAAGGGAAAACAGATCTCAAATCTCATCCTGTCACTGCAACACAAATAGTCTTGAACTGTCCAGTACACTGGTCCAATGCAATGAACTCTAGAGCCCAGAGCAAATCGGGTGTAAAGCTGGTGTAAAGTCAGGTGTAGGTCACAGCAGCAGGCATCCCTTTAAGCATGAGGCTAATCTCGCATTAACAACGTAAGTGTTCCACGTTAGAAACACGCAATGCTACTCGACGCAACAGTAGCCTACATGTAGGCTAGTGTAGAATAGTAGGTTACATGCCTCCACTGTGGATGGGAAGCAGTAGGGAGCATGGATGATATGAGATCTTACCGTCATCTTTTCCATATCCCCATTGATTCCCTGTCATTGTGCCTGAAGTGGACTCGGGTCTGAGCGAGCTGTCGGTGTGTGACTCCCGCACTCCGGTGCGCACGTGGAGGACGGACACGGATTTCAAGCAAAGCAAACAAGCTATTGATGAAGTTTATGTAGGGACCGAACGGGAAGGGAAATTATCCCTTTCTTGGCACGCCCCTTCACGCCCACATACACATACATACACACACGTACACACACGCACGCGCGCACACACACACACACACACACACACACACACACACACACTTAAACACCTGTCTGTGGTTTTAAAGCTTATCTTGTCTAAAGTCACTGCAGTCAGTCTTTTTCGGATTTAACGACTTCAGTAAGATATGATTACAACATTATTATATTGCATAATGTCTTTTTCTCTACTAAAAATGTAACTGATGATAGCATCATGTTAGACTGGTAGACCTATGACCAGTGTTTATTGTAATTCGCTGCTAATTACACACAATTCTCAATATACCCTCGGCATCAAAGCAAGCTTTGTTTGTCATCCATTTGTATTAAGATCCTGTACAGGACCACATTCTGCTTTAAAATTACTTATTATTACATCATATTACATCTAAACGTAGCCTATTTGGTCTTCGTTGTTTTTGGTCTGTTTTCAATATTGTATCGCCTAATATTAAGTTATATAATACACTTTTAAATCATTTGTTTTCCATTTTTATTTTAAACATTACAAATATAAGATGGTGACCATGGAATAATTGATTGATTAATTGATTGAAACAATAACCGTATTAGTAAATTGTGGAAATTCTACGCCAGGGGTGCATATGGTGGACACACTGTTACCTAGGGGTATTGCTTTGCAAGAGTGGCAATACAAAGTGTGAAGAGTGCAAATAAGGTGCAAGTCCAAATTATATAGGGTTCAATTCCAAAATCATGCAAATGAATCATATAACAGGTTAATGTCAGGATCAGGCTTGGTGTGCATGAGATTAGTCATTTATGTTACCCATGGATAGGCTACATTCATGAATCATATCTGGATATTTTAATTGTACAAATCCATATATCATTGCTGCTTTGGTTTTCACTAGTGTCCACAAAGTCCCCACCATCTTTTGTGTGAGATGCCCCTTCTTTGTTATTCGTTATGCCCGTTATGCCTCTTCCTCTCAGGGAGTCTGCAGACCCCGCTGCCTCCAACACGTTTCACTTTATATTGACCATATTAACTCACAGAAAGGTAGTTTATCCTACGGTATTATCAACACAATATCTATAGAACAATTTAAAAATACCTTCCTTATGTCAATTCAAGTCGGTCTCAGCATTTGTGTGGAAAGTGCGCATCCGAATTGTCACACTAGTATGTTTTTTTGTCGAATCAGTCAATGAGGAAGTTAAAATACGTCTATACGCGTCTGTCATTTGAGAGCGATGGCAGCCACCAAAGCTTCCAAAGAACAGAAATACGACAGACAACTCAGGTACGTTTAAAAATATACTGCAAATTTCACAAATAATATTATTTTAGCTAATTGTTTTTTAAATGTTCTTCTGAGAGGTGCTATCGGATGCACCGGTGAGGCTGGAGTGCTAAAGTGAGCTAGCTGTATGAAAACATTATCTCTGTGCTAACATTAGCTATGGCTAATGGCTAATGTTATGATAGGGATGAGTCTCTGTTTGGTGTTTGCTTGTCAATCAAAAGGCCAGCTTGTCTAATGACAGCCGCTGACTTTATATATGTAATGTGTTTGATGGTTTATCAAGTGTAACTGTATGCTAGTGAATGCTATTGAAGCTCTTGTAGCTAAGCCATTCTTGCACAGTGGCTTGAGGAATCATTGTTTCACTAGGTGACAACACATGTCCATGTTATTTTTCAGACTGTGGGGTGACCATGGTCAGGAGTCACTGGAGAATGCACATGTTTGTCTCATCAACGCCACAGCAACTGGGACAGAGATACTGAAGAACCTAGTGCTTCCAGGTAAAACACATGTGGCTCTGTGCTAATGCTGCAGGTGCTGATCATAGACTGTGCAATATATATATATATATAGAGTAGTGATAATGAAATAATCCCCCTTATTAAAATGAATGTATCTCTCTGTCAGGTATTGGAGCTTTCACCATAGTCGATGGGCACACTGTTTCGGGAGAAGATGTTGGAAACAAGTAAGACAGCAGTTGTTTTGGTTTTGTAAATGTATCTACACTTGAATTAGTGTGTTATATTTGCACGTTTGTTCATGCTTGATCTTTCGATTTTGTCTTTCAGCTTTTTCCTCACCAACAACAGCATTGGAAAGGTATATTTTCCCAAAATCAAAGAATGTATGTTTTGTGAACATATGCAAGTGCACAAGCAAGTACACCATCTCCTCCTTGCATCTGCATCTTTCCTCCTACTTGGTTATTCATGGAGTCATTTTTTATATTAAATAAACGTATCAAGTAGGAAATGGTAAATGTATTTGTATGAGCCCTGAACTTAGTTTTTATGTTGCAGAATCGAGCACAGGCTGCCACTGAGTTGCTACAAGAACTAAACACTGATGTCTCTGGAAACTTTGTCGAGGAGGTTTGTCGTTTTCAAAGCTTTAACATGATGCCATATACATTTTAACAGGGTTAATTTTTAAGTAAGAATTGATATCGAACTTCTTTTATACCATCTTCATAATAACAATAAATATACATTTCACACATAAACCAGTGGACATACAACCAAGGGCAACTTCCATACCACTATAAAATAAGCATGCAAATGTCATTACATTTAAGTGTAAAATATTAAATGTAATAATCAGTATTATTGTTCTGACAGTGACAGCAATCTTTCTTGTATTTTCTGTCACTCCTGCAGAGTCCAGACAAACTTCTGGACAATGATCCTGAGTTTTTCCACAGGTTCAGCATAGTTATCGGTGTCCAGTTGCCAGAAAGGTATGAGATGGTTCATGTTTACACTCACATTTCACTATAACAAAAGAGTTAATGATTCATTATTAAGGAACTTATAGTATCCTAGTAAACTAGAATTGTTTTATTTGTGTAAATATTTAAACTTTGTGCAGTCAATAAAAGATGAAATGACAAAGTTAATGTAATTTACAAAGAGATTTATAGCTTTTTTTTTAAAAATAAAAAATGTTTTATATTTCATTATTTATATGTTGTTTTATATAAACTGTCTTTATCGCCTTGATTGGTCATTATTTTATTTTGTAAAGTTGTAAAAGGCTATCTTAAATCCAACAGCACATGTTTGAGGCTGGGCTCAGTTCTGTGGAGCGCCTCGGTACCTTTCCTCGTCTGTAAGAGCTACGGCCTGATTGGCTACATGCGACTCGTCGTGCAGGAGCATACAGGTTAGCATTCTACTTGAATTCCACTTTCTTATTATGATATTTTAATACATTTAAAAGTATCCTTTCAGTTCACATTGAAGAATAAACACTTTAAATTGCAAAAGCAGCACTTTGGTAAATAACATGTCATGCATTTCCCTCTATAGTCATGACCAGCGTTTCCGCCAGGGGGCCGTCTTGCCGTCATTTGACGCCCTTATTCAGCTCGGGGCGCCCTGAACGCGAGCCGAGGGCGTCCAAAAAATATTAATAATTCGAGAGAAGATCAAGTTTTTATTGCTTGAAATTACGAAAAGGACAAGGACATCCCTCTGTTGGAGGGGCAAAGGAATCTGGTGGGATTATTTTCGGAGTATTGAAGATCGTTTCCCCGACATCGAAGGCACCTGGACAACACGGAACGTGCACGATTTGGACGCGATGAGCAGGAGGTTTTTAGTGGAGCACGTGCGTGAGCTGTGCCTGTAAGCACCAGAGCCTCGCAGCGGAGAAACTGAGGCTCCCTGGTAAACTGTGGTAACATGAAGAGCCGTTCGGGAGCCGAAACAGCCGGCGCTTTAAGAGAGCCGAGCCAAATGATCCGGCTCACTAACGTAAAAAGACAGTATCTATAAGGGACGGCTCAAGTCAAAATTCAAAACAACCCCCCCCCCCCTCCGCTCTCGGGGTGGACGCCCTCTCAGCCCTGGTCTGGCGGAAACACTGGTCATGACTCATGATTATTTACATGAGATTATTGACATCCTGTCTGCCTGGAGCCACACTTTTTGTTACATGGTCTTTTCACCGTTGTTTATGGTTTATATGTAAACTGTAAACATATATTGACGTTTTCTTGCCTCCTTTTCAGTGATTGAATCCCACCCGGACAATGCCTTGGAGGACCTCCGGTTATTCAAGCCTTTTCCTGAATTCAAGAGCCACATTGAGTCCTACGACCTTGACAGCATGGACAAGAAGGTGTGTACTTCAGCACATTTAAACTGATGAACATATAAGCTATGCCAGCTTTACACAACTGATGTACTTCTTTCTCTTTTTTACTGAATCTGCAGGATCACAGTCACACACCGTGGGTTATCATTATTGCTAAGCACCTGGAGAAATGGCTGAGTGAGGTACATTACAGTGTCTGTGGCCTCCCCAATGCAAAAGTGTCTGACAAATTAATCACTGCTATTGTTGGGTTGTTTTACGATAATAATAAGCCAATAGTTTTGTCATTGTAGCACGACTGTCAGGCACCGAAGAACTACAAGGAGAAAGAGGCCTTCAGACAGTTAATTCGAGAAGGTATCCGAGGCCCTCTGTATTGTGTAAAACTGGCAGTTCAGTAACTTTGGTGTTTCAACTTATCTACGACTTTTATTTTACACATTTGGTTTGTGCCTTTAGGGATCCTGAAGAAAGAGAATGGTGTCCCAGAGGATGAAGAAAACTTTGAAGAAGCTATTAAGAATGTCAATACTGCTTTAAATCCAACCAAGGTACCAGACCCCAAATACTCCTAGGTTATAGGAGTTATCTTGTTTAATATATTTCCTCCTTTGAACCCCAAGTCTTTATGTTTTCTATAGTATGACATTTGCCTGTGAGGTCTGATTACACTCCTTGTTTCTGCAGACTCCTAGTGCTGTTGAAGACCTCTTCAATAGTGAGCAGTGTAACAACATCACATCACAGGTAAGAACTTTTTTATTTCTGAGACCTTTTCTCTAAAAAGACCCGTGGATATATCATAGTCATTCCCTAGTACGTAATTCATGCTTTTTTTTAAAGTGTTGTGTGTATTGTTTTGTTTGTGTTTACCAGTCCCCGTCCTTCTGGGTGATGCTCAGAGCTGTAAAGGAGTTTGTCCTTAAAGAAGGCAATGGAAGCCTTCCTGTACGGGGAAGCATCCCAGATATGATCGCAGACTCTCAGAAGTTCATCAACCTCCAAAATGTGTAAGTCTGCTACTCAGAAAACCTCTGATCCAACAGTACATCTGGTTTATGCCTCTTTCTAACAGTAATTATGTGGATTTGTGTTGATGTTTATTTTTTTGATTTCAGTTACAGGGAAAAGGCCTTGCAGGATGCAGCAGCTGTTTGTAAGCAGGTAGAAAGCCTATTGCAGTCTATAGGAAAGGTATGTTATAAACCCACGTAGTCAGTGTGTGAAAGTACTGGAGTTAGTCATGACTTTATTTGGGTCCTAAATCCATTTTTAAATTTGTGCTCAAAATAAATGTCTGATAGGTCCCAAGTAATAACAAGCTTTACCAGGTTTAGCCCTGAAATACTGAATATATGGATGAAAATGCTGCTACTGATATTACATTGTGATTACAATTGTATTACTTTTATTTGTACCAGCCACCAGAGAGCATCTTGGAAAAGGACATCAAACTGTTCTGTAAGTATTATGACGGATACATAATTTTCTGACTTCATATGTTTTCATGTCTCCTATTATGGAAATATTAAGATTTGTACTGCTGTCACTGTGTGTTCCTTCTCGATTTTAAGAAAAATGCAAACAGGTGGAGCAAAATATACACTTTTTGCTGCACCTACAATGTGTTTATTGCTAACTGTTCAATTTGTGTTGGTGTCTAGGTCTCTTTCGTTTTTTGTAAAGCACTTTGAATTGCCTTGTGTTGAAAGGTGCTATATAAATAAACTTGCCTTGCCTTGCCTAGGTAAGAACTCATCATTTCTGAGGGTGGTGCGCTGCAGATCTCTGGCTGAAGAATATAGTGTGGATTCAGTAAATAAAGATGAAATCAGTAAGCTGGAGATTAAACTGTTCAGCTTTGTTTATGTCATGTCTTGTTTTTGAGTTTGTACAATATTATCTTCTGTTAAGCGTGAAGAATATTTGTCCGTTAACATAAATGTGTGTCCTCAGCCTCAAGCATGGACAATCCAGACAGCGAGATGGTCTTCTACCTCATGCTGCGTGCTGTAGATCGCTTCT